TTTAGCCCATTTACATTTATTGTGATTATAAATGTATTTCAATTTATTTCTGCCACGTAATTATGAGCAATTTTTAAAAACATTTCTATTATTTTTCTCTTTCTTCTAGATTCCTTTGGATAAGTACAATTTTATTTATTTCACCTCTTTTCCCTTATCCCTACCAGTTGCTGACTGGAATTAATGCATTCTATTTCTTTTCTTTTAGTCGTTACCCTTAACGTTTAAACATGCATATTTGACTTATCAAATTCTAAGGTTAATTAATATCTCTAAGGCAGAGTTAAGGCTTCTGGGTGATTCCATTCAAAGATACAGGATCAAGGACTTAGGGCATATTTGAGACCAAAGGTGAGATCTGTTTTACATATGCTGGGTTTGAGGACACATACCCAATTATCACCTTAACGGATGCCTACACATCTACCTTCAGTGGCTTAATATACTTTGCAAAATCTCCTCCTTCATGGGTATTCTGCATTGCTTAAGCAGTGACAGGAGTTAGAAACAAAATTAAAAAAATAAACATCACTGTTTGCCTTCCTTTGATTCTTAGAACCACGTCTTCCCTTCTGACCTAGCCACCAGGGCCAAACTGAACACTGACGTGTCCTAGAAACAGCAGGCTTCACAAACATTCCTTCGATAACTGTCGATAAGCTGAGAACTGACTCTGAAACAGTGACCTGGATTCTCTCTTACATAACGATGGCTTACCTTTGCCTCCTCCATCTTCTCTACTATGTTTGTGGCTTAAATGACGAGGGAGGAGGGGCTTAGCTAATTTCTGCCAAATATGAGAGGGAAGGAAAAACTCTATTTCCATACCAGCTGAAAAAATCATTTTAAATTAAGCATTCAATCGCAGCTGACCTAGAGCACATCAGGATTCAACTAGTTCAATAAAACCACTTACTCGTCTCTCCTGGAGGTCAGGTCACAGTTGTAAACTTTCCAAGTAGTGTTATGAATACTGTGCCCAGTTAATCCTTCAGACGACTCTGAGGTAGGCAGGGTGGGGATTATTAGAGGAAACATCTCAGAAGGAACAAATGACTTGCCCAGGCTCCCAGAGCCCATTTGTGTGCAGCTGGGGCTGTACAGTGTGGCTCACTCTCCCACACTGAAAAGTGACTCTTGTATTCCTGTGTGAGAGCGTATACTTAACATCCTGTCCATGTGCCAGAGTTCAGGACCTCTTCCTGAACTAGCTAACAAAATACATCAGGCTTAACATGGACGTTCCAATAGGCTTGGTGTTCCCCTCACTTTAGTGTCACTGCTAAGTCCAGAAAAATCTCCCCAGGGCCCCAAATCTCAGAGGGCTGGGCTTAGCACAGGACGATGACATGGAGTCCACTGGGCTTGGTCTTTTCCATCTCCCAACACACACACAGATAACCCCTTCCCCTGACAGCCAACAAAAAGATACTACTAACCACAAGCGGGGCTTATACATTACGCTCAATGCCTGATTTCACATAGTTAATGGATTCATTTGTTAGAGCAATTCGTGAAAATCCCCAAGGGCCTGGTGAGGCTGCTGCCTAATGGTTTTATCACGTCATATGCTTCCTTCATTCCTATCCTTTAATTAACAATACCTAGATTGGCAAGGAACTCTGGACCAACCACTGCTAAAAATATAGGTAAATTGTAAATAAAGCGAAACGGGGGGAGGGGAATTTTGTGCCTCTGCAGTTCCCTTCACCAACAAAAAGAGATTTCATTTTTTTGTATGTTTTGGCCGATTCGTAATCCCACTGATACAGTCTATCGAGTTCACATTGACACAAGGCTTATTTTCAGGCATCAGCAAGTCACCTTCAGGTTTCAGGTGTGGATCTGAACTTAAGGGCGATGGCAGAAATCTGAAGTCAGTGCAGCCACACCATCACTGTCCCTCTTACTGGGGGGAGCAGGCAGAGAACAGAGGCATGGGTTTGTATAACCCCAGGCTGCAGTGCAATCAAGGGGGAGGGGATGCCCGCCGGCCTCTGACAGAAGGCCTTTAGCTTCATGGTTTACACACACATGAACGTGAGCATCAGTATAATTCTTGGTCAGAACTGATGCCTCCAACCTCGGCCAGTCTTTTGGTGCATCTGTTCCCTGCATCCCAGTGGGATGGAAGAAAGAATGTAAATGGGTAGAGCCAAATCCATATGCAACACGTAGAAACCAACTTAATGGAGACTCCCCACGGGTGCTGGATCTAGAAGGGAGGCTGTCCTCACCACGCAATTGCTGCACAACCAGGGCTAATGGGGACCTCCATTTGAGAAAATCCAGGGACAGCAAGAAACAAAATTCTGCCCATCTAAGATGGACAACACAAATGGCTCTTTGTACAGTGAAACGGCCACCACCAGTATATGATTATTTTCTCCTATACCAAATTAAGTACTCAGTAAGTGCTTGAAAAAAAAAAAAAAAAACTAATGGAACAAAAAATATGGATTATCTCTTAGCTGTAATTTAAGGAAGAAGAGGATCATTGTTGTATGCTAATGAGAGGTGATGGGTGAAGATGCCTATGTCTGGAAGCACTAAATTGCTTTACATTGAGGGGATCCAGAATGGAGCGGAGGGATAGGAAGACTGAAAGGCTGGGACGGAAAAGGACTGAGTACAGAGGCAATGAGAGAGAGTGAAAGAGACAGAGGTGGGCACAGAGACTCAGAGGCTTCTGGATAAAGAGCGGGCTTTGGAAGAGAGAGTGAGGGTTTGGGAAGGAAACGCAAAGTGTGCTGTGCAAGGTGAACTCTGCAGTCTGCCCTATGAAACTGATGTATACGAAATTAATTTTCCATCTGTTATTGGACTACGTGAAAAGGGCCGGACAGAGTTTCACCATATGTGAAGGGGATATTTGGAGTGGTCTGATTTTAAAGACAGTTTACATGGTGTATGCAAAACTCTCTTTGGGGGTCCTTGGAGGGACTTCAAACCACAGCCCTTGTGGCTGTAGACTGGGAGAGATGTACTAGACACATTAAAATGCCTAGAGCAGAGGAAACACATGGAGGCTTCCAACACGAACCCTAATTCCAAAGTCACCAGGATAAATCACCCAAGTTGCTCCCTTGATTTCTGATGGAATTACCTTCTATGCAAGCAGCTCCGTGAGGCCACTCCAAGGATGCGTGGATGGGAGTGTGAGAAATGCAGGAGGCTGGTTGGCCTTCCGTCAAGTTCACAGGGCTCCTAACACCTGGTGACTTGGGTTCTCTGGGAAATGAAGAGATGCACAGGGGCAAAAGCAGAGGCTGTTGGTGGTGATAGCCAATACCTGGGTCACAAATGAGTAACTTAATGAATGATCAGGTCATGGGGGCAGATGTATGTGCCAGGCAATGGGTAAAATCCCCACTTCTAATACTACTACTGTGGTACCAGTAAAGTCACTTAACCTTGTCATGGCTATTAAAGGCGAGTTAGGGCTTTCTTTCAAGAGACCCCTTTTGAGGCTCACTTACTAGCTGTTGACCTCAGACAGGCCACTGAGCAGCTGTAAGCTTTGGTTTCACTTTATAAAAACATGAGGATAACATTAGCATCTGCCTCAAAGAATTATGGTGAGGAGGCCAGGAGTTAACTTGCAGCCCACAATATGTTAATGATGATGATGATCATTATTATGATAAGGCCACTTGATAATCAACGTGTACAATTAGCACCTACTCGCTCTTATAAGACAAAGTTCTCATGTTGGTTTCCCAGTCTCCTCTTCACCTCTTTCTTGTACAGTCCTTGTAGTCAGCACCAATTCATTCTCCTAAATGGTGGGGTAAGTAGATATTTTAAAATACTAAAGTTTATTGGTTTTACTTTTTAGTCCTCAGCGGTGTCACTGATGCATTTTCACACTAAAAATATAAATTTGCATATAGTGGGTATATACAACATTAGAGGATTATAATAGGCAGTATGGTGGTTTCTGTGTCAACAGTATGTCTCATTAGAAAATAATTAGGAGGAAGATGGCCTTAGTCCTAGGAACAGACTACCGTCTTCCCTGTGTGATCTGACGATATACAGAGAGCTGTGGACCCAGGCAATTGCTAGCAGAACCTTCAAAATGCTCCACCCCATAAAATGTCCTTTGGCAGTGACTGCCCTTTAAAAACCCCACTGATGGGGGCTTCCCTGGTGGCGCAGTGGTTGAGGGTCCGCCTGCCGATGCAGGGGACACGGGTTCGTGCCCCGGTCCGGGAAGATCCCGCGTGCCGCGGAGCAGCTGGGCCCGTGAGCCGTGGCCGCTGAGCCTGCGCGTCCGGAGCCTGTGCTCCGCAACGGGAGAGGCCACGGCAGTGAGAGGCCCGCGTACCGCAAAAAAAACCCAAAAAACAAACAAACCACAACACCTCCACGTGCCTTCTTCTCCAGCTCTGGTTCTGTTCCCACCAGTAAACCCAGAACTGTCCTTTACAAATTAACTGTTGGCTGTCTCGGAAATGCCCCTCACCGCCACTTACCCCGCCCCCGCCTTCCCCATGGGTCTCCCATGCCCAAGCTCCCGGGGGCTATCTCCATACAAGGGCCTCAGCACCTGGCCAAAACATCGGGAGGGTGGAGGGCACAACCTCAGCGCTGGCCTCTTGGCATTTGCGGGTTTCAGCCAGACCCTGAGTGTTATTTTAGTGCAACTTCGGCGTTTAATTTGAGGATGTGTGTGGATCAGAAGGAGGAACCAAAACATTATTCTTTTTCCTCTCCGCCAAATGATCAAATTTGATGTTCTAAAAAACACACAGCCTGGTCCAGAGCTGTGTCCAATTGGGAAGTGAGACATGCCTGAAAATCCCTCCCCTACCAGGGACCATCCTTCCTTAACCACTGGCCACGGCACAGGCCTGTTTACTGTGGACAGCACCTGGGCAGTCTGTGGTTACCACCCGGCCAGGAGCCTGTGCCCTGAGGCTCTCCTTCCCTTCTTGAAAGTACACGCTGCACCTTCGCTGAAAGAACATTCTACAGGGTTGTTTAATTTCTTACAGCCTTGAAAGCGCCATAACCAGGAGCTGCTCAGCCATGGCTGAAGGGGAAATCACAACCTTCACAGCCCTGACCGAGAAGTTTAAACTGCCTCCAGGGAATTACAAGAAGCCCAAACTCCTCTACTGTAGCAACGGGGGCCATTTCCTGAGGATCCTTCCAGATGGCACAGTGGATGGGACAAGGGACAGGAGTGACCAGCACAGTAAGCACCCATCTCACCTTTCTGGTGCCTTCCTTAGTCAAGGATGGAAGAAGGGAGGATAGCTAAAGAAGGGCTGTACCCTCTTCCCCAAGGCTCTATTCAGGCATGACACACTCGGAGGCAGGGGGAACAAGGTGTAAAGGGTCTAGGTGTGGAAAAGGGGGAGTTGTGAAGGCTACAGCCTGCCTAAAGAGGTCCTATTTCAAGAGTTTAAGAGGACTCTCTGTTGACCTAACCCAACTGCTGTGAGATCAGACTGGCTACCAATGCCCAGTTGTTCCAGATTTCTGTAACTAGCGAGAGGTCTGGTCCCCAGGGCCCTGCTCGCTCCATGACAGGAAGGGCCACATGGGGCAGGGTTGGTAAATGCCCCACAAAGACATGGGCTCAATTTCAAGTTAACTGACTCTCCAGGTTATCTTCCTACTGGGCTTGATTTGTGAAATCCTAGTTCATAATCGTAGTCTTACACATCATAAATTGTGCTTGCTCTCACATCTGCATATCGTGCAGATGTGTTTGGGGTAACCGGGAGGAGTGAAGTCATTCTCCAGACCTTATAGAAACCAAAGGGCAAGAGCGATTCCTGCCAAAGGCCGACTATCTCTTCCGGGCTTTCCTGCCAGCCCAGCTCCCAGATGGTGTTGATAAATGGAGGTATGACCTTGGAGAAAAGAATCTCCTCGACTACCTAAGAAAAAAAATCTCTTCGCTGTGCTTTAGTACTTCCGGTGGTGGTGTGTATGTTTGATGTTAGGTGTCTGGGTCCTACTGTGATGTGCTCAGGGATTCCCTGAGCACCACCAAGGCATTAGATGTTGGAGAGGAGCCACAGGTCAGATCTGGTCCCTGATAAGAGGGTCTGTATGTCACGCACCAAGAGAAGGAATGTGTGGATGAAATCAGGAGGCACAGAATAGCACGGGTGGAAATTAACGTTGCTGCAGGATGGCTTTAAAATGAAATGCAGAACACTGGCTTTGATGTGATGGCTTATGTATCAGGTAGTCTTTCTTATTCACAGGATATGCACCAAAGGTTGCAGGCACTAAGCACAAACGGCCACCCCAGTGGCGCTCACTCTCCATCCTCAGATGCACAGGTGGTAGGGACAGAAGCCAGCGCTTACCAAACCAGGTGGCACTGTCCTGTCCTTCCCGCCCACCAAGCAGACCCTTGAGATGAGAAGCAGGAAGACTGAGGTTGGGGCTGGATGCTGCAGGGTTAGAATTTTTCAGCTTGGTTTTGATGGCTTGTCTTCAGATGGGCCTGTTGAATGCCTTATACCCGATGCAAAACAGGTACCAGAGTGAAGCAAAAAAAAAGACTGCTGAGTAGGTCAAACACATACAGAAGAAGCAATGTTTACTGCAAATAAATGGACTCAGACTGCAGTCTGTTGTGTTGTGTCAGACAAGCTACACAATTCATGTGATCTGCCTCATACAACACAAAGGGAACAAGCTGTAATTTCTCAAAGGTTTTAAACATTTCTAATAAGTCTTCGCTTTCTGAACCAACGGGAATGCTCTCTGGTCCTTAGAGTCCCAGGAGAAAAAACAACCTTGGTGATGTGTTCCACGGCGTTAAGCTGGCTCTTCTGGGAAACCTTAAATTCTGGGGTAACAAGAAGCTACAATTACAATTCCAAGTACTGGAATTTCTGTACAAATGGTAGATGACTTCACTGTTAACATTATAGACTGCACTCTGGGTATGGAAATTTGGGACAACTTCTGCATAGTGCTGCGAATTCAGCTGCCCGAACTCAGATGTCAGGAGCCCTGGAGGGCAGCATACGGTAGCGTAGGAGGGTGTGTGAGGAGGTCTGCACACAAGTGATGCCGGATTAATTACTTTCAAAGTGAACTTGGGCTAGTTACTTAACCATTTTGGCCTCACTTTTCTCACGTGTAAAATAAGAACGCTATTACTTGCCTCACAGGCTCCTCGGGAGGGTTCCATGAGATAACGCAGTGAAAGTTCTTGACACAGTCCCCTGACCCAGAGCCACAACTCAGCACGTGTGGCTATTCTTGCCACCACTGTCACCACCACCACCACCAAGACTTCCATGTATTCAGCGCGGCACCTGGAGAGACAGTACAACACTTAAGGACCTTGCCTAGTCTCTTCTCTTCAATAACACTGCCCTCCATGAAGGCCAAGGGTCTAGAGTCAGGTTTTGATTCAAGGCCTCTCTGGCAACATTCAGAGTCCTTGCGTTGGCCTATTTACTTAGTCTAGAACTAAGAACAAGGGCCAAGGAGGGCAGAAATCAAAGTCGGGTGAGTGAGCAGAAATACATCCCCGTACCTGTCAATGCCAGGAGAACTGGATAATCCACATAGCCCCTGCAGAGTCAGGGGCCCTAGATTTAGAGACAGAAACCTTGAGCTCTTATTCCTATGCTTCCACTTTCTAACTGAAGCAGCACTAGACAATTACCATTCTCTCCATTTCGCATAAAGTGCTCTGCCAAAGCAGTTTCCCATCCCCCATCCCCAAGACCCTTCCAATCATTCTCTCTTGCCTAGCAATGTAAAAGTCTCCAGTGTTCCCAGCTATCTCATCTTGGGGGAAAATACTGAGGCTCAGTTTCCTCACCTGTGCAACGGGAAGACCAGCACTGCCTTGTGTGCCTGACAAAGCTGAAAACTCTTATATGGGATCCTGCAGCCGAGAGGATTCCCTTCCTACCATGGATGCGCCCTGTAAATGTGGTTCTGTTGCCCTCTTCTGCCCAGTGATGGTACTGCCACAAGCCTTCTGAATTTCAAGTTTCTTCAGAAACAGAATCAACCTGGGCAGGCATGGAGTGGATGATCCCTGAGCGGTTGGCACAGCCTGGCGAGGGAATGGTTTCTATTCTTTGATCATTAGTTTGAGCATGACTGGAGGCCATGGTGACAAGTAGAGAGCCACACTCTAAGACTTACTTCAGGAAGAATATTTCTAAAAGCCAATCAAATATTTAGGTAAATCTACATTAAATTATGCAAGGTAGAACTGTACTCCTTCCAGCTCTACAAGGCAAAAACACAAAAAAACAAAAAACCTACTTTCACAGGTTTTCCTTTTTTTTATTTTATTTTTTTAACATCTTTATTGGTGTGTAACTGTTTTACAATGGTGTGTTAGTTTCTGCTTTATGACAAAGTGAATCAGCTATACATATACATACATCCCCATATCTCTTCCCTCTTGCGTCTCCCTCCCACCCTCCCTATCCCACCCCTCTAGGTGGTCACAAAGCACCGAGCTGATCTCCCTGTGCCATGCGGCTGCTTCCCACTAGCTATCTATTTTACATTTGGTAGTGTATGTATGTCCATGCCACTCTCTCACTTTGTCCCAGCTTCCCCCTCCCCGTGTCCTCAAGCCCATTCTCTATGTCTGCATCTTTATTCCTGTCCTGCCCCTAGGTTCTTCAGAACCTTTTTTTTTTGTTTTTTTTTTTAGATTCCATATATATGTGTTAGCATACAGTATTTGTTTTTCTCTTCCTGACTTACTTCACTCTGTATGACAGACTCTAGGTCCATTCACTTCACTACAAATAACTCAGTATCATGTCTTTTTAGGGCTGAGTAATATTCCATTGTATATATGTGCCACATCTTCTTTATCCATTCATCTGTCGATGGACACTTAGGTTGCTTCCATCTCCTGGCTACTGTAAATAGAGCTGCAATGAACATTGTGGTACATGACTTTTTGAATTATGGTTTTCTTAGGGTATATGCCCAGTAGTGGGATTGCTGGATCATATGGTAGTTCTATTTTTAGTTTTTTAAGGAACCTCCATACTGTTCTCCATAGTGGCTGTATCAATTTACATTCCCAACAACAGTGCAAGAGGGTTCCCTTTTCTCCATACCCTCTCCAGCATTTATTGTTTCTAGATTTTTTGATGATGGCCATTCTGACTGGTGTGAGGTGATACCTCATTGTAGTTTTGATTTGCATCTCTCTAATGGTTAGTGATGTTGAGCATCATTTCATATGTTTGTGGGCAATCTGTATATCTTCTTTGGAGAAATGTCTATTTAGGTCTTCTGCCCATTTTTGGATTGGGGTGTTTGTTTTGTTGATATTGAGCTGCATGAGCTGCTTGTATATTTTGGAGATTAATCCTTTGTCAGTTGCTTCATTTGCAAATATTTTCTCCCATTCTGAGGGTTGTCTTTTTCATCTTGCTTATGGTTTCCTTTGCTGTGCAAAAGCTTTTAAGTTTCATTATGTCCCATTTATTTATTTTTGTTATTTCCATTTCTCTAGGAGGTGGGTCAAAAAGGATCTTGCTGTGATTTATGTCATAGAGTCTTCTGCCTATGTTTTCCTCTAAGAGTTTGATAGTGTCTGGCCTTACATTTAGGTCTTTAATCCATTTTGAGTTTATTTTTGTGCATGGTGTTAGGGAGTACTTTAATTTCCTTCTTTTACATGTAGCTGTCCAGTTTTCCCAGTACCACTTACTGAAGAGGCTGTCTTTTCTCCATTTGTATACTTTTGCCTTCTTTATCAAAGATAAGGTGACCATATGTGCATGGGTTTATCTCTGGGCTTTCTATCTTGTTCCATTGATCTATATTTCTGTTTTTGTGCCAGTACCATACTGTCTTGATTACTGTAGCTTTGTAGTGTAGTCTGAAGTCCGGGAGCCTGACTCCTTCAGCTCCGTTTTTCTTTCCCAAGATTGCTTTGGCTATTCGGGACCTTTTGTGTTTCCATACAAATTGTGCAATTTTTTTGTTTTAGTTCTGTGAAAAATGCCGCTGGTAGTTTGATAGGGAATGCAGTGCATCTGTGGATTGCTTTGGGTAGTGGAGTCATTTTCACAATGTTGATTCTTCCAAGAACATGGTATATCTCTCCATCTGTCTGTATCATCTTTAATTTCTTTCATCAGTGTCTTATAGTTTTCTGCATACAGGTCTTTGGTCTCCCTACGTAGGTTTATTCCTAGGTATTTTACTCTTTTTGTTGCAATGGTAAAT